CATACATACGGTACATACTGTCAGACCCCTAGCTTCGACCCTGCCTTCTTCTCGTCTCGACAAAGATGGATGAGCGCTCTGTAGGTGATCATGGAGGCTTTAGATGAGAATATAAAATAATCGTAGCGCCTCTTCCAGACCATATATAACGCCCTGTTTGAACAATTATTTATTTTCAATCCACGCCTTAACATATTCTTCTAAGCGCTGTCCGACGACACGGCGCTGACGATCAGAACATCAAAGACTCAAGAAGATGAACGCTCTTCCTGCAGTACTTCGGTCCGAGCACTAGCAACTGAACCTTCAAAGAGCCACTATAATGCAACTCATGGAGAAAATATCCGTGCCTGCAACGTTTCTGTCGTCACAAAGCACAAGCACGCAATCTTTGACTCGCTCCAACGCCGAATCGATAAGTTCATCTATGATCCAGACTGAAGCCACACCTTCGACATATGGCTCAGAAATTACCAGGATTTATCCGACAACCACCTGTATCACCTGTTGTCCCGTTGATCATCGACTTGCTCAAGCGGGCGCCAGTAACATCTCCATTCGTCCCTTTCACGAGCCAGAGTGGTCCAGTGAATCGTTCTCGCTTCAGAGACACGAGGTTCAACATTCCTTTCGTTCAGAGCTTTCGTGAAGGAGTCTGACCATCTCGTTGGCGGCCTTCCTGCAGTTCGTTTGATGTCCCGAGCGATCCAGTCAGTAACGGTCCAACGGTCATCACTATATCGCATAACGTGTCCGGCCCACCTGATCTTCGATTTCTTGGCGTAATCGACGGCATCCCTAATCTTCGTTAGTTGACGGAGCTCGGAACATCGGATTCCCTTCTGCACTCGCGTGTATAGGGAAATTCCGAGCATCGTCCTTTCCAAAGCGCGTTGATTAAAGCTGACGGCATGTTCATCCTGCTTTAGTAGGGTCCAATTCGCATGTGTCAAAGCAGGAAAGACAGCAGTGTCGAAAAGGTAAGCGCGGAGCCGGATGTTCTTTGTCTTCTTCACCACTCCCTCAATATTCTTAAATGCTCCCCATGCGGCGCGTTTCCTTTCGCACAGCTCTGGAGCTAGGTCGTTTAGCATGTTGACTTCCCGACCTAGATACACATAGCTAGAGCTTTCGGAAGTATTCGTTCCGTTCAACGTGAAAGGAGGATCAGGTACCAGTCCGTTTTCCATGAACATCGTCTTCGTTAAGTTCAGTCTCAAGCCAAACTTTCCACGAGCATTGTCAAATTCGGCAGCATTCGTTCCGCCTGCTAGATGTTCGGTATTATGAGCACGATGTCGTCTGCAAAGCTGAGGTAATGTAGATAGCGGCCGTCGACCTTCACTCCCAAGTCTTCCCATTCCAAATGACGCACGATATTCTCGAGAGCGGCACTGAAATGTTCGATCGATATGGTATCGT